AGTCCCCAAACCTTGACCCCGTGTGATGGGTATTTACCCTGCACTGGCATTAAGAGGGGTAAGAGGAACTGGAGAACGTGTCCCATCAGAATCCTGCCAGTTGGTGATCCCTGGGACAGCCTAGCCTGTGATGGGAACCGGCTCTCCAGGGGGGGAACCCGGGGAGATCACAGCTCAAGGGTCAGGACCAGGCCACAGAAAGGTCTGGAAACAGTGGTCAGGGTTAGATACAGAAGAAGGGCAGGCCTGACAGAGATCTCTGCAAGGACCTGGGAGATGAGGGGCAGCTGTTACCCGCTAAGCCATGCAAACGCTGAGCAGTGGAGATCTCACTGCCGGGAAACCCAATGGGACCAGCGTCCCCTCCTTGGTACCTGACGGGGGCATCTACTGCCCAGGGCCAGCTCAGCCGGCAGGGGCTAGGAGGGTAGGGCTTGTGGGCTAAAACCAGAGAGTCAGGGAGCTGCCCCCAGCAAGCACAGACCAGGCTTCCTCACGCTAAGGGCAGGTGGCAGGAACGTGCCACAGAGCCCTCGGTATCCCCGGGGAGTGTCACAAACACTCTATGCTGAGTTAGTCGTGCTGATCACTGATGTGCCCTGACTGAAGACCCCTTTGGGGATCTGCTCTGTGATTGAGGAACCTGTATCCCGTTGCCCTCTCACTCCTGGGAGCCGAGAACTTGAGGGTGACTGACTCCCCTAGGATAGAGATGGGGTGCAGGGAGCCAAGAGAGAGCATGGGGGTGGTGGAGGGTCTGGAATGGTGATAGAATGGGGAATCTCCACAAAGTGAAGAGGCTGGGGAGATAGATGAAAAAATCACTAACATGCACAATCCAGCCCGATCTCCCTGCCAAGTGCCGACTCCCCGAGGCTGGAAGAGAGGGGCTGGTTCTTCCCAGCTGGGATCTCCCAATCGAACGGGCATATCAGTACAAGCAGGTGCATGACCCAGAGACCCCTGGCCCTGTGACATTCAGGGTTTGGGGGAAGCTACCCCCAGATGAGCCCCCAGATGAGATGCTCCATGCCCCCACCACATCGAATTGGAATCCTGCAACTTTGTGACCCCAGGAGCGCCCAGCATGAGAGGGGAACAGGCTCTCCAGGGAGGTACCCAGGGAGACCAGGGCTTAGAGGGACAGAGTTGCAGGGGGGTCTGGAAAAAGAGGGATAAGGGTTAGTTACTGAAGAAAGTGACACCCGGCCAGGATCTCTGGAAGGCGTGGGAGGCAAGGGGCAGATGTTACCACGTTACATTCATCTCAGGAATTAGAGGGGGATGAAGACTTCTCTTTGGGAACCTACCTGCACCCCTGTACCACACTGAACCCCAACGCTGCACTGTGCTCACATCTTATCCAGATGGAGGCAGGACCTCCCGGTGTGGGATCTGCTGGCTGGAGTAGGTTTCCCAATGCACAGCAGGGCTAAGGGACGGCTGGTCCCTGTCTCAGATGTGAGCATCAGCCGGTCACTCCACTGGGACCGAGGACCTCTTTGCAGATCAGATCCCTGCTTTCAGAGAAGAATTTGGATCTTATGGTGCTTTCACCCCCAGGGACCGAGCACCTCAGGGTGCACCTTTGTCTCCCATAGACATGGGCAGTAGGGGATCCTGGTGTATTGGTGATGGCAGGGGGATGGTGTGACAAGAGAAACTGATCCGTCTCCTGGTGATAATCATGAAAGAAGCAGCAGGGCTGGGTCCTCTGTGAGCCAGGAGAACAGGGCTGCGAGCTCTCCACAGCAGTGCCCAGGGCTGTGAGCTTGCCCCACAACAGTGCTCTCTTAGTGCCAAACATTAGTGATCAGCTGGGACCCTCTCCCCCCACGGCGTGTCGGACACCAGGGCCTGACACTGACCAGAGAGGGGTGAGATTTGGGGTTTGTTTCAATAACCATCCCCAAGTTTTCAAATGTTACTTTTGCCTGGGATCCCCCAAAACTTAAAATAGCACCAATGCCCCCCCTCAAACCCACCACAGGATCCAGAGAGCCATGGAGTGACACTGACCCGGTGGGTGCCCTGTCACGAGCTGAGTGACTGGGCTGTGATTCACCCCGTGAATGGAGGAGAGATACCCCGCCAGAGGGTGAGCAAACAGCAGGAGACAGGGGGGTCTCACCTCTCACTGCTATGGAGATGGGTTGGCTCCTCTCCGATGCAATTTGTCTCCCAGACACTGTCTTCCAGGATTCACAGCTGTACTTTACAGCTCGCAATCCAGACACCCCCGACAGTCGAATCAACTCAGTGTAACTGTACCAGGGTGAGGGGAATTCCTTGGAGTGGATTTCCTGGCTGTTCCTGAAGAACCGGACCCCGGACACGGTGGACACCCCAGCTGAGCACGTCAGGGTCACAGCTTCTCCGGTTACGTAGACAGGCTGCTGCGGGGACACGGTGAGCTGGGGAGCCGGGTCAGGATCTGGAAAAGACAAGGGGGTCAGGGAGGAGACGGTTCCTACTTGGGCGGCTGGTGACACAGCAGCAGAGGAAGGGCCAGTGAAGAGCAGAAGAGGGCGGGATCCTGGACACAGACCCCAGCCAGCCCCAGCTCAGTGCCCAGGGACCACGTCCCCGCCGGGCCATGCAAACACGGAGCAGCAGAGATCTCACTGCCGGGGAACCCAGTGGGACCAGCGTCCCCTCCTTGGTACCTGAGGGGAGCAGCTCCTGCCCAGGGCCAGCTCAGCCTGCAGGGGCTGGGAGGGGAGTACTAGTGCGGCTGAGGCTGGGGGTGTCAGGGAGCTGCCCCCAGTAGGCACAGATCTGGCTTCCTGCACTAAAGGCAGATGGTAGGAAGGTGCCTCAGAACCCCAGGCATCCCTGGGGAGCATCACACACACCAGCTGGGATCTGGCCCCATTGACTCCAAAGGAGCCAGGGTCATTTACATCGATCTAGCTCTACCCATAGACTCCTTTGGAGATTTTTCTGATTCTCACCAGCCGGGATCTCGGTCATTGCTAGCGAAGACTCTGAAACCAGCCCCTGGTTCCACTGGGCCTTGGGCTGTCTTTTTAACAAATGTTTTTTCTGTGTCACAGGGATGATTTGCACAGATGGGGAGTGAGTGGGATGGGGAGGGTTTCCAGTCCCCAAACCCTGACCCTGTGTGATGGGTATTGACCCCACACTGGCACTAAGAGGGGTAACGGGAGCTGGAGGATGGGCCCAGCCCAGTTGGAGATTGAGCTCAGCAGGGGAAGGGCTGGGCAGTGAGTAGAAAGGGAGGCGGCCCAGAGGAGATGGGGGGGGGGGAGAAGCTCTCCCATTTCTCTCTGGTCGCTGGAGGCTGGAGGGAAGGTCTGGAGAGAAGTGGCTGGGCAGACAGCCCCGGGAGGGGCTGTGCAAAGGGGAGGGGGCCGGG